ATTATTCAGTTCTGTACGTAAAGGAATGCAGAGAGAACCAGTCTCAGGAGAGAACCTTAAATTAGGCTTTTGGTTGGAAGGGAAGAATCTGAATTTTTGGCAGGAGTTCAGGCTCAAGGCTTCTTTAGTACATCGACCCGGAGGTCCCATGGGCCTGTCTGTCATGAGTGGAATTTATGAGAAGGTGGCTACATCTTGTTTTCCCTTTTCTTTCTTTTTTTTTTTTTTTACAACAAGTTAAAAAATAACAGTGTATTTAATCTATGACTCTCTTCTTCCTTATCTCTGCTAAGGAGAGATTAATTCCTTATAATCAGGGAGATAAAAGATGTATTTGAATGCAGATCACAGAGTGTTGCCAGGAAATCTTAAGCCCAAGAGCTTTTATTCTAGAGGATCGATTTCAGTTTCTGCTTTATCTTAATTTCTTTATTCAAAAGCTTTTACAGACTTTGACGTATGCTTGCCTGTCTGCAGTCCTTTTAGGAAAAAGTAATGTTTGAAACAACTGGCTACTGAAATGCTGGGTATTTTGAACGGTAGATTGTTTCCCTTATATGTAATGCAAAACCATGCCTATACTAACTCTAAGCATTCCACCATAAAGACTTGCCAGATGTTTATGTATCTCATATTTCTCTATTTAGATAAAACTCCACCTGTAAAGTACAATGTTTTTCTATTTTGCATATAGAATAACCCAGAGAGAATATAAATGTAAAAAGTCAGGCAAGGCAGGCAGTGGATTTACAGCATCTTCGTGACAACCGCATGTTTTGCACGCTGTTTGCACTATTATTTACTCTACAGTAAATGTAAGATAAGTTGCTCTTCCCACCCAGGAGGCTGAACTGTCTCACATTCCCTCTGGATGGGACCAGGCGTGCATGCAACCTCTGTGCAAAAGCTGACGTTGTAAATGTATCTGTGGGTTACAGGAGAAGGATAAAGAACAGCCTTCTCCGGGCTCTCCTCCAGCTGTTCTGGGTCTGAATGAACTGATCTGGCTTTGCTACCTAACAGCAAGGTACCTTTGGTTGGTGCTCTGTAGTCATGGAACTCGGAAAGAAACATGGACTGGCAATATCTGCTCTCTGCCAGAAGCCAAAAGAAAAGGAATGGCTTTGTTTGCCCTTCAAAAGAGGGCCAAAGGTTTCATAAGTGGTAAAAGCTGGTAACCTCCAAGGTGGTTATAAAAATACGTCAGTGTTGGCCTAGTTCTGGTCAGGCTCCTGGACAGTAAATTTCTATGAAGAAATAGAGTGTATTAACAGAGCAGAATGAGCACTCACAAGATATTCTGTGCAATAGCTGGCTTGCTACCATGAGGAGGAGGCAGCAGCATGCAAAGATGTACACCGTCATGCAGAAGAGCATCACTGACACTCTGATTTTTCTTCAGCAAAGCCCTATCGATTTTGGTTACAGAATCCAAAAGGAAGCATGAGATGGTAGTTCTGTTGGGCATAACTGGCAGGGTTAGTCTGAGCACAACATAGGCATTGCCCTCTCATCAACCTCAGGTAGGTTAAGTCAAGCAGTGAGTTTAATTTTTGTCACTGCTGAGGTGAGGCTGTCTGCAGTAATGCCTGTCCTTACTCTGGGTCAGAGGCTGAAGACCTGTTCTTTATTTTTCCTTCTTTATATTATTTTCCCTAGTAGGAAGAGGCGATGAGGTAAGAACAGGATTTATGCAGGACACAGTACAGATGATTTTGTTTAGAAAAATAAAAATAAATCAATTTTCTGAATATCTTTTTTTTTTTCTGTCAGAACAAACTTCAGATTGTTGGGATTTGTTTCAAGGGTTTTCAGTGACATCAGACCTAATCACAACATATTCTGCTTCTTAAAAACATGGACCCTGGCAAGCGTTTCCTCTTTCCAGTCACTCTGAGGGAAAGCTACTGCAGGCATTTGTATTTGTCAGAATAAATAATTAAAAGGCTCATCAGCCTCTAACTAATGAACAAGGAAATGTGATTAAGCAACTTTAAGAGAGAATGGCTAAAGACAATGTGGAAATGATAGCAGGATGATTGCTGTGAATGGCAGACTGAAATTTCTGAATAAGAGATTTCTGCAACAAGACAGAAGGAGAGTAGCTTAATCTTCCATTAAAAGGTTCCTGCCAATTTGGAAGAGCTCTGAAGCAGGAGATTAAAGACATCTCGGGCGCTGACAGGCGCTCGGTTCTGCAGAGATAGCTGCTCCCTGACAATTGCTGAGAAATAGGATTCCTCAGCCCTCCCAGCTGCTCCCAAGCAGGACCCCTCTGACCAGGCCATTCTGAGACTACAAAGTGCCTTTCAGACCAAAATGTGATAGGGATGCTTGCCAGGTTACTGTGAAAACATCTAGAAATTGTGCTGATGGGCTTCTGGCAACGTTCCCTGCAAGTCCTGCATGCGGTAGTATTTCGTGTGTGCTTATAACTTATTCCTCCCTTGTTATTATTTGACACCAAAAATGTGTACGGCCAGCTTATATCTAGCCTATTTCTATGATTGCATGGTTTGCTCTCCTAGCTTATCTGAAGGAGATAGCACATAATTTAGGAATTGAGCAAAAATAACAAGATATAACACATGAAATAACAGTAGTACAAAATAATATAAAACACAAAATAACAAAAGGATTTGCAATTCTGTGTGTCAGCGGTAAGATATATTCTTTTTCCTTTTTATACAGTGATAAACAAGACAGCCCTTTCCAAGTAAAAGCACAAATGTCAACAAGCAGATTACAAGATTTCTGTCCAAAAGGGATTATAGCAGACTGCAAGAATTTCAAGATACTAAGATATAAAAATGGTATGCACAGAAATAAGGGTGATAAGATTCATAGTTACGCAGTTTAAAAAAAAAAAGAAGAAGAAGAAAATGCCAAACATCTTTTTTAGTTACAAAATGTTCATGTAATTCAAATATGATACTTGACATGGCAGAATATATTATAGTTCTAAAACCCAATCAGTATAATACTGTTCTACTTCAAGAGACTTTTGAGGATATTATTGCTCCTTTTTTAGTGTGATATATGTCCATCTTAATGCTACCCATAGTATGCATAAGAGAAACCAGTCTGTTTTTTTAAACAAAACCCCAGCTGTTTTCAGGGGAGATTTGATTGAGTTTATATGTATTCTTAGCCTTCAGATGTCCACTCTGAGCAAGTCCATGTTGCTTAAAATGTCTTTAGTCATGTTACTATCTTCTAATTATCCTCTGCAAAGGTAAGAATTCACTGTGTTTCAGTTTATATTTTGAAATTACTTATATTTTGTTTATGAGAGTTCTGTACTTTCTGGTAATTCATGTTCTTATTCCTATTCACATACTGTATTTGTTATCATACCCAGTAACCGCCTCCTGTCAGTTTGTCCACTGAAAGTCCCAACTTGCATCTTCCTCTCCTCTTAGATACATTCCCCTTTGACAGCAGTGAGTCCTGGGAGTCCTGGTTGACAGCAGGTTAACCATGAGGCAGCAGTGTGCCCTTATGGCCAAGAAGGCCCATGGGATCCTGGCCTGCATCACGAGCAGCGTTGCCAGTAGGTCGAGGAAGGGGATCCTGCCCCTCTACTCAGCTTTGGTGAGGCCGCACCTGGAGTACTGGGTGCAGTTCTGGGCTCCCCAGGACAAGAGGGACATGGAGCTTCTAGAGAGGGTCCAGACGAGAGCCATGAAGATGATTAAGAGACTGGAGCATCAATCGTATGAGGACAGACTAAACGAGCTGGACCTGTTTAGTCTGGAGAAGAGAGAAGACTGAGAGGAGATCTGATCAATATGTTCAAGTACCTGAGGGGTGAATGTAGGGAGGATGGGGCCAAACTCTTCTCGGTAGGGGCCAGTGACAGGACAGGGGGTAATGGGTACAAATTGAAACACAGGAAGTTCCACCTCCGTGTGAGGAAGAGCTTCTTTACTGTGAAGGTGACAGAGCCCTGGAACAGGCTGCCCAGAGAGGCTGTGGAGTCTCCTTCTCCGGAGATCTTCCAAACCCACCTGGATGCCACCCTGTGCCACGTGCTCTAGGTGTTCCTGCTGGAGCAGCGGGGTTGGACTAGATGATCTCTAGAGGCCCCTTCCAATCTCAACCATTCTGTGATTCCGTGATTCAGTGCCTGAGTTTTTACCTGCAGCTTATGTCTAAACTTCCTGCAGGGAACCAGGACACCCGCGAGTTCCCTGGTGAATGGATGTCGTGGCACATCTCTGAGCGCGAGGTTGAGGAGCCAGCCTGGGTGTCACATCTCACCCAGAGACGCAGCCTCCTTGAGAAAGCAGAGACATAGCAGAGGTCTCCATCTGTCAGGAAATCTGTGCGGTCCTTTTTTCCAAACCGTGCAGCGTAGCAAAAAATAAGGAAGGATGACATATTTCTTCATTATACTTTTCCAGGACAAGTTCTGTGAAAACCTTTTCCCTGCAGAGCTTCTCTGGGTGTGCAGTCAGTGAGGTGATCGCAATGTCCTCTTTCTCTCTCCTTGGAGAAGGAAAGCAGGCTTGGAATATTACTTTAATGTTCTAATATCTTTTATGTAGACAGAGGCTGGTATTTTAGCATTCTATTTAAAATTTTGTTATTTTTATTTTATCCAAGATACAGAGATTTGCTTTGTGAGTTCTGCTAGGATTGATGCCTCATTCTCGTGATCTGCAGAGCCAGATTTGGAGCAAAACCTACTTTTCAAATTAATTGTGCCAAAAGATCTTAGTGAGATATAGAGGTTGGAACTATCAGTGTTGTAATGGGCATTTATCCATTTCAGCATAACTTCAGATATCTCCAGTAAATGAATTTGTAGATAAATCTCTCGTGTTAACGTACTACTGAAGCTTTTCATGCAAAGAAACAGATGCAAAGTATGTATTAATGTAAAGGATCACAAACTTGCCCATTTTGTGTTGGTTACATCCCCAAATCTTCCTTTTTTTAATATTATCTGACATGTGTCTACTTTTTCTTTTTCTTTTTTTTTTCTATTTTTGTAGGTGGAATGGAGAACATAAAACAACATACATTTGCATTAGCTCACTATACCTATACTGTGCTGTCTACTTTAAAATATGCCAATGGGGCGCCTGTAGTACGTATTTATAGTCATACAGATTTCAGCAGTCCTGATGTCCAGGGTCCAATTATTAATTTTAACATACTGGATGAAAATGGAGAGGTGATCGGCTTTTCACAGGTATGCTCTTCTCTTGCCTTAATTGAGTGTTTAGTTTTTGCTTTAAGCATGTTCATAATGACTTATTCTATCCATAATAGGCCCTTCTGATACTTTGATTTTTTTCATAACTCCACAGACTTATATATGTGTCTTTCTGTGTGTATATATATGTATGAATACGCTGTTTTTAAAGTAGTGGAAAGCGAGTTCAGTAAATAGTGCCAGCAAAGTGCAGAGTGCATAATAGCCAATCTTACCCAGATTTAAGTACATGTTTTAAGCCCACATGACAGTGGGTTGTTTGAACAGACTACTAACTAAGCAGTTTGGTATCTTCTTGACTTGCTTCTCTGGACTATATAAATTCGAGAAATCAAGGGCAGGACTCAAAAGGTTCACCTGAGAGACCTTTGACACACAAAGGAATTCAGATTTCAAAAAATAGTAGTCATCCATGAAGGAGGACTTTTCTTCTCTCTTTAGCTCTAATAGTAGTAACTACATTCTTGTAATATTTGCGACTTAGCACTGCGTAAAGATAGGAGTGTTTTTATTTAACAGCTACATGATCGCGTCACTCGCTCATCAGCAGAAGTCAGGGAAAACACAGTACTCTAGTTTTGCTTATGCCTTTTTCTTTGCCCGTCCATTGAGGAAGTCACAGAATCACGGAATGGCTGAGGAAGGCACTTCTAGAAATCATCTAGTCCAACCCCCTGCTCCAGCAGGGACACCCAGAGCACATGGCACAGGGTGGCATCCGGGCAGATTTGGAAGATCTCCAGAGAAGGAGACTCTACAACCTATCTGGGCAGCTCAAGACAAGTTCAAGTGTATGATCTTGATTTTTTTCCAAAGCTGTTAATAACCCGGCACCAGCTGCCTCAGCAGGCACCTTCCTCTGTCCACAGTCATTGCATGGCTGTGTTCCTCCGGGAAAACAAAATTCTGCACTTCTTAGGAGAGAGGTAGCGTTACAAAAGACCCTCCCTTGGACTCGTGGCGCCTGTGCCAGGGAGGATAAGAACTGAATGGTGAGGTGGGGGAATGCAGAGAAATGCTTCTGAGATTATAGGGGAAGATGCAAATATACATGAGGAATGAGAGAAGTGAAGCAGTTACTTATGAGTCTCTCCATATGGAGTTTTGTAAATTTTTTAGGCATCTGTCAGGCTGAAGAATATGGGAAGGGTAAATGCATAGAACAGGGGAATCTGTATGACTCCCAAAAACCTAGAAAAGAGGGCTGTGTTATCACACAGTCTTAAAGATTCACCATACTAATTTTCAAAGGCTTCCATGTTTTAGGAGTAAAATAGCCATTTAAAAAAGAGTCTTGAGTATTTGCTGTAATGTTCTGGAAAGAACTGTGATATTCACAGAACTGGGTTGGCAAAATATTGCAAAATGACTGTGATTTTGTGTCTGTCCTTTGGTTAAAATCAAAGCCGTTAGTTATAGCTCTGATTTTCACCATTTTCAGTAAAAAAAAAAAAAAAAAAAAAAAGGCTCCTGCCTGTTTCATTATTTTAAACTCAACTGTACCCTCAAAAAGATGATTTTATAGTGTTATGACTCCACTGTTGCAGTTTGCTGCAATGGCTGCTCATAAAAAAGCTTCTTTATTGATCTGTATCATGTGGACTGTGCTAATCACTAGATTCTGATCGTTTCTGGCAAGAGTATATCGAGAATGAAGAACTAATAAAGTTTTCAAAATGCACACCCGTCACATCTGTAGTGCCTGTTAGATTACTTTATTTAATTAAACTAATGTACAGTTTAAAGACTTTTAGAAATTAACAAGCAACAGCACTAAGGCTATAATGTGTGTGATACATATGTAATTGGCTTCTTTATGGAATAAAATGCCTTCATAGGCATCCTGTAATAGCTATGGTGGAGAAAAATGTTTGTTCCCTTTTGATGATGATGACAAAGAAAATACATACAGTATAGAGCAAGCATCATGAAAATGACAGTATGAATTTCTTCTTATTTATTGGTGAGACAGTATGTGTGTATGTGTCTAACAATAAGTAGGTTGATTCAAAGCAGGCAAGAAGACATCGGGGCAATTTTTAATTTAGGAAAAATTGGATGGCATTTCTAGATGACATATACCTTCCACTGGATACCCAGCCACCAGTTAACAATAATCTTGTTTCAGCTGGTGTGTTAAATGAGAGAAACGGCAGAATGTTCTATTCTTTTATGTGTGATATTCCATCTATAATTACTTACAAGCAGGCACCCAAGCGGTTCTGTTTGTCCTTCTGGCAGGCAGTTGTCACATACCCTTTGCCAGTGGAGAGCACAGGGTGGCTGGTCATTAGTGACGGGGAGCCTGGAAACGCTGCTCTGAGTTACTGATTCCAGAGAAAATATTTTGATGAGGTTCGGAGCACTTTATTTGAAACATATGAGATTGGCGAGGAAAACTTCAAAAGTAGAAGTGACAGTGTCTTCAGAGGATACCAAGCTTATATTTAAGCCTCAAGATTTACATAATTTACATGATATTCAGAACTCTGAACTAAGTCCAAGATATTTAGGATGTGAAAGGCATGCAGTGAAGTACATGATATTTAAAACTGCTGCTGAAAAATGAAAGCAAGGAAAAAATCGTGTCTTTCATCTGTGTGGCATTTGGGAGGCAAATTGTTCTTAGCTGCTACTATTGCGGAAGTCCATTGCTCGGTGTTATCAGAATAGAATTGACCACAGTTATTAAGTTTGTGCCGCTAGACAGGAACATGCTTGAATTACATACATGTGTCAATGGTGCCAGGAGGGAATAGCAAGAGTCTCGGATGCATCCTAGAGTAAAGACTTCATTGCACTCGAAATCAAATGAAGGCACTTCATTAAAGTGAGACACGCAAAGGAGATGGTACCGTGATTACACTCTCAGTGACAACATGATTTTTGACAGCCTCTTATCTTTGAATATACGATACAGAGCATTTGGATGTGCCAAAGTAATAAGGTGGGAGTGATATAATTATGGAAGTCGAGTTGTTACTGCTTTTTCATTTCTTGGAGATTGCCTAAGTTTATCACTGGTTTAGTGTATTATATGTGGAAGAAACTTGCTCTGAATACTGTATATATCATTGGTTTAACTGCCAGTTTTGTTTACTAGGTTTAGCTATTTTGCACTAATTAAAGTAATTAAAGAAGAGGGACTTTCAGACTCCACACAACAGTCGCTCAAAAGCTGTGGCTTTTTCTTCCAATTTTTCATGAAATGGATTTCTTTATCTAGGATCAAACTACTGCAGTTTTTGAGGTCTCAGTAAACCTCAAAAACCAAGTGTGGAGTTGTCTATTCTCTACTATTTGCAGATTTGAAAAGAAAATGGCCAGCTCTGCGACAATGGGCCTTTTGAGCTAATAATGTTTTAAATATTCTTCTTTGTCCTGAAATGGAGAAGGGACCTCTTACCCGTTCTTTGCACTTTCAGGAGGTAGTTGCCAAGTCATCGTAGCATCCTCTCACTTCTCGGTTTGCAAGGGTGGTTTAGGAGCAGGAAGAGGGCCAAAGGATGAGAGGCCAAGGTGGGCAGAGGGAGTTCCACCCAGCACATTTGTCTGTTTGCTTGTGGTGGAGAGCTCTTACCCAGGCACGCTTCCAGCCCAGGCTTCTCCCTGCCTGCTGGGAAATAGCTCTTCCCACACTGGACGTTTGCTTTTTTCGCTCTGGACTTTTGAGACAGTTTTATTTTTCCTCGTGTTTTTTACTGCATGTTATTGGCTTTAAAAAGCAACCAAACCAAATGACCGATGTTTCAGCCCTGATTTAGTACCTTCCTTTCCCGTTCTCCTTTGTCACCAAACATTTACCTCCTTTGCCTAGACTCTGAAGCTAAACAGTCACCCACATGCAAATAGGGGTCTGTATAGGCTTGCCATGCCTCCTGCTAATTCTGTCAGGACGGGAGTGAGCCTCAGTCCATTAGCAGTCCTAGACTTCTTGCCTGTAGCCCTGCCATTTCACACTTGTGTGTGAGAGACAAACTGCTGTAAGAGGAATCAGCTGCCAAAGATGGAGAGTGTAAACGTTTTGGTTTGCCTAAGGAAGGCTCCTCTCCTGTGCTGTTGCATATGGATGAGTTTTGCCTCCTCTCCTCTCAAGACAGGGAGTGCTGCTCGGATAGATGATGATCGGCTCCGTTAGCGAGCCGACGTTAGCATGTCCTGGCTGCCTCTCATCAGCCCAAATAGAGGCAAGGTGAGGGGGAGGCTAGACTTTGAGCTGAAGTCTCTTCAGCCATTTCTCAATAAAAACCTATCAACACTTCTCAGCAAATGACTTCCAGTGTGTATCCCTTCAGCATGAATCTACAATGCAGTTTCTTGCCAGCTCTTATTATGGCATCTGCTTACTGTCTACCCATCTTCCTTCTATCATCACCTTCCTTGAGTCAGTGAGGACAGACTTGAAGACCCACTGTTTTTCTCTTTCTTTTCTGTCTTGATTTCCTCTTATTCTGTAGTGGAGATGAGGGTCTTTCATTGGAATGTGTGGTCCCAGATCACTTTGATATCAGAACAGCTACACAAGGATTTTACCATGGCACCACTTCGGAAGAAGTATCTTCTCACTGCCTGTGTTGACATACTTAGAGTATAGGAAGAGGACAAAACCCGAATGAGACTCCTCCCTCTCTACTTTTTCTTAAATACAATTTTTTATCCTTTCTTTTCTTTGTTAGAATTTTTGTTTTCTTTTCTTTTTAAACACATTTATGCACCTGCATCCAAAGTATCCTATAGCAATGGATTCTCTTGTTAAGTAGCTTAGCAGCTAAACCAAACATGAGAAGAGGTGGAGGCAGAAAATCAGACCTTAGGACTCCAGGGATTTTGAGAGGTTACTCACATTCCTTGTATACTAAGTTAGGATCATCTCATTCTCAACCTTTGCACAGCCTCCTGAGACAATTTATTCTGTAACTTAGCTATGTACACTATTGCAGAATATTTCCTAATAAATGCATATCTTGTAGTGCAGC